GAATGATATATATTATATAATATAATGTAAAAACTAAATCAAAGATGTCGCCACTATTATCGAAATTGGAATTAAAAAAGTCTGTACTATCGACCTTGAGTATCAGTACGAGATATTTTGTTGCCGATAATAGCGCAAGACTTGGAAAAGCCAACCATGCAAGGACTTCCAATTTCTCCTGTGATGCAGTTACTAATTGCGTTAAGATTTTATGCCATGAATAGCTTTCAGGTAAAATTATGCCATTTGAGATCTGTAAATTGATTTTTTATACTTTAAGTATACTATAAAATAAAGTAATAAGGCATTACTTTTTAGATCGTTCATGACGATTTAAGGAAATATAGCCAATCTTCTGTTTCACGCATAATTAGAAGAGTGTCTATATTGTTTGCCAGACATTTGGATAAATATGTTAACTTTCCGCAAAGAAGAAATGATCTAGTGGAAAACATTAGGCTTTTTCATAATATGATCCATTTCCCAAACGTGTCAGGTTGTATAGATAGTACTCATATTGCTAATCCAGAAGGCCAAAATGCAGAAGTATTCTGAAATCGCAAAGGCTATTTGTCCCTAAACGTACAGGTGCAATTTTGCTAGTTGGTTAGCGTTATTAATAAAGGAAACCTGCGGCGACTCTTATGTACATTTACATAATTTTTACTAGGTGATAAGTGGACCTCGATTGGAAATATTAGATATTGTAGCAAGATATCCGGGATCAACCCATGACAGCCGAATCTATAATAGAAGTGTTGTTTGCGCTCGGTTTTATAGGAATGAAATTCCTGGATTACTGTTGGGGGACAACGGTTACGCTTGCAATCACAAGTTACTGACGCCCTTTTTAGTACCACAGAATATACATGAAATTATAATAATTACAATGCCGCTCATAAGACAACCAGAAATAGAGTAGAGAGATTATTCGGTATTTGGAACCGCCGATTTTATTGTTTAAAAGGTACTTTAAGAACTAAACTGAATACCTCAATGGCCATAATTTGTGCTACGGCTGTGCTGCATAACATTGGGCTACAGCATGACGTCTACATTCCCGATGAAGAAGAAGAAATACAAGAGGAAGACGAAAATGATGTTGATCCACCAACTAACAACGTTGTGCCTGGTGGGTTTGCATTTCGTCATGCCTTTGCTCTGACAAATTTTTAATTTACATAATGGGTTTATTGAAATATATTTGTCAATAAAATATTTTTTATTAATTAAGTAAATTATAAGAAATATATCAAATTGTTTGTATTAACAAATGTGATATTAACATACATTTTAATAAAGTAACTTTAAAATTAACCATAAGTTCGCACCTTTTAAATTAACACTTATTATATTAATACAATACTTTAAACTCGAATAGACAAAAAGAGGAACATACAACAGATATATCAAATATCATATTTTAACATTTAAAAAACATAGTGACACTATACAATTTTCTGAGATTACTACTTAAGATAACAGTTATCACAACATAATTATTTTTTAATCCTTAATTATTAAATCATTGCAATAATATTTTTGGTAACGATCGCACATATATATCATAATTAACTGTAATAAATTGATCAGTGATAAAATATTATTGTTCAGTGACTTATCACTAATTAACTTGTTACAGCCAGTAATACCTTTCTGTAAGGGTTCTAATGGCCAGCAGCTATATTACAACTACAACCTGAACACGAAATATATTTTTAGCATCACTCAGACAAAAATAAAAGTGATATTTGTCTTACATAGTAAAAACAAAACAAAAAATTGCAATTGCATTCATAAACTCAAAATTGCTTTCACGAACATTTATCCTAATAATAAAATCTGTTGCTTGAAATATTAAACATAGTAAGAATAATAACCCAGACAACACGCATGTTTTAAAGGACATCAAAGATATCTTAAAGACATCTTATGCGTGTTGTTTGGAAAAAATTTTATTTTGTACTTTTATCGTTTATTTCCTGCTCAGCTGCCAGAACTCGCAAAATAACTAATTTTGTTTCGGCCATTGCCACTTTCATTCTTTGTTCATGAAATTCCTTTTGTTGTTCTATGTTCTGTTTAACTTTTTCAACCTGCAGTTCTAATAACATATCATTGCAGTTGCATATTTTTTTAGACGTAACGTGCAATACATTGTCATTGCGTGATTTCAACACCCTTTTATTATTCTTAGGTGATGCCTTATTAATGGCTTCAGTATTTCCTCTTTCTAATAGTCTTGTACTGCAGGAAGCTTTGGAAGTACTAGCAGTCTCATACACATCAATGTCTGAATCTTCTTCATGCAAAGAGTTGGATGATCCATTTCCATCTAATATTGTTGTAGCTATTAACAAAATTTAGTTTGAATTCTTATCTCCATTACCCATTTTTCATTAATTAGCATTTGGTGTCAAAGCACTGTTGCCTATATGAGGATCCAGGCTTACTTTTACATATACTTTAAATGAAACAGTCAATTGTACTAACTTTTTTTTTCATATACTGCAGTACTATCCCATTTGTTTTCTAACTCTACGTCTATGTTTGGAATAATAGCTTGCGCTACGTCTGTAACAACATTCGTCTCTACGGGCGTAAGAGGACCTCCACCAGTTAACAATTAATTTTGTCGTAGTATCGTGTTTTGTTGCCTACTTCTGTAACATTTAATAAATAGATACGTATTATATTCTATATGACATTAATAAGGTATAAACTTACTTTTGTTTTATGTTATCCCAACATTTCTTTAGTTGCTTTGTACTTTTGGGCGTGAAGCCTTGACTACAAAAAGATTTACGAATATTTTCCCATACAGCATTTTTTGCTTGTATTGTAGTACCATCTGTTTTCTTATTTTCCAAAATTTCTTTATTTTCAGCTACTTGATGAACAATAAACAGTTTTTCTGTTTCTGAAAATATCTGCCTATCCATCACGTTTTATCTTGTCCACAAAAAACACGAAAATTAAGCAAAAGCGTTAATATCAAAATCTTTTGTCAGCGAAAAACGCAAGAATTTTGCAAATATATGATAATACAAGAAAGCAAGTTGCTGAAATTTGACATACGTTTGATAATAGTGCGTAAAATCTTAACCTATTCGTCAGTGTTGCCATTAGCAGCACAAGAAAAATCAAATTCTTCGATACTTCAGTAAGGATTACTCAAGTCAACACTATGAAATTACACATATATCAATCCTTAAGTTCAGCTCAAGGCGCACTTAGCTGAAGCAGCCTAAAGTCGTTAGGAATCCTAAAGTCGAGGAGGGATTATGAATACGGTCGAATGTCGTCCCGAATGTCTGCTGGTCTTGATCAATAGGTAATACGCAAACCTTAGTGATCGGTCGTTTGTAGGTAGTAGTGGCAGTTCGTACAGTGACAACTCTGGTCAACCCATCCTTGCCCGGATGTAACTGCAAGACTCGTGCCAATGGCCACTTCGCTGGGGGGTATCTTTCATCCGTGAGTAGAACCATAGAACCCTCCTTTAACTGCGTGGATGGGTGATGCCACTTTGATATGGCTTGATAGCAATGTATGCACTCCGACGTCCATCGCTTCCAAAATTGCTCGACTCTTTGACGGATGAGCTGCCATCGAGTTAAGCGCGAACTTGGCTTATCGAACAGACTTGGCTCCGGAACAATTAGAGGCGTATCCCCTAAAATAAAATGACTAGGAGTTAGAGCTGTGTAATCATTAATGTCCTCCGACATTGGACAAAGAGGTCTAGAATTTAAAACAGCTTCAATTTCGGCCATGAGAGTTGATAATTCTTCGTATGTTAATATTGTGTCGCCGACTACACGGCGAAGGTGGAATTTCGTAGACTTAACTGCGGCTTCCCATTTGCCTCCGAAATGAGGGACGGCCGGGGGGTTAAACAGCCATTGTGTGCCGTGATTTGCAAGCAATGAAGCTAATTCTGTTAGTTCTTTGGAGGCAGAGTCGAATCTTCGACGTAGTTCACGATCTGCTCCAACCAGATTGGTGCCACAGTCACTGTGTAGTGTTGCACAAATGCCACGCCTGGCACTAAATCTCTTATAGGCGGAGATAAAGGCTTCAGTGGTATAGTCTGTGACTATCTCAATGTGTACTGCGGAGGAAAAGAAACAGACAAAGATTACTAGGTATCCCTTGTAGGTCTTTGCTGCCCGTCCTCGCCAAGTTTTTATGGTGATGGGACCTGTGTAGTCAACTCCGCTATTTAGAAAAGGGCGGGATGGCGTAACACGCAATGCCGGGAGCTGACCCATCAATTGTTGAGCTCTTTTCTGGCGATACCGAGCATATCTCACGCATCTGAGAATGAAGGACCGGATGGGAACTCGTCCGCCGATGATCCAATACCTTTGTCGAGTATGTGCTAGCGTCAGTTGGGTTCCGCCATGTAAAGTTTGAAGGTGAGCATTAGCTATTATTAACGTTGTGAATGGAGACTGCCTTGGTAAGATGATTGGATGTTTGGTATCGTTCTAGACTGGTTTGCTGAAGTCGACCGCCAACTCTCATTATTCCAAATTTGTCCAGATAGGGTGTAAGTTTGATCAAAGAATTTGCTTTAGATAAGCCGCCGCCTTTTTTCAATGTTTCCATTTCATACTGAAAGTGAGATTGTTGTACTTTACCAATCAAAAATTGATGACTCCTTTCAAGTTCAACAGGGGACAAATGCTTTGAAACCGACTCTGATGGTAGTCGCCGAAAACGCTGAGCGGTGCGCAGGCAAACGGCTGTAATTCGGATGAGCTTCGTAAGCGAGGAATAGCGCTCCAAAAGATCCCAATAAGCAATCCTTCGATCTCGAATAGAAGTATGTATATATCCGGGGTTTTCCTCTAAATTTAGCTCGACAGAACATCCAGGAGTTAATTTCGGCCACTGAGTCGGTAAACTGCTTAACCACGAGGGCCCGTGCCACCATAATAAATGTTGCTTAATCTCATGTACAGTCAAACCTCTGGAAGCACAATCAGCGGGATTTTCCTTTCCCGGAACGAAACCCCAAGACGCCGTGGGTACGACATCCTGTATAGCTGCGACTCGGTTGCGGACGTACTCCTTCCATTTAGCGGGATGTGAGGTAATCCAAGTGAGTGTTACCGATGAGTCCGTCCAGAGAAAAGTTGGGCAGTCTTTGAATTCCAAAATATTCTGTACACTCAACATCAAGCGCGAAAGCATTAACGCGGCGTTTAATTCAAGTCGAGGAACTGTTAGCCTTTTTAACGGGGCTACCTTAGTCCTTGCACAAACGACTCTAACTTTAATTTCAGATTTCTCCGTTTCGACTCTAATAAATATCACAGCAGCCATTGCTAGTTGCGAGGCGTCAGAGAAGCCATGCAATTGAATGGAACGGGTTGATGATGAAGTTTGAAGCCATCGCGGAATATTTAAATTGATTAATTCTGGTAACTGTTGTCTATATTTTACCCATCGTTGTTGTAATTCGAGTGATAGAGGAGTATCCCAATCCACTTTGGCCAACCAAAGCTCCTGGCTAAAGATTTTAGCGCGAATTATAACAGGAGCTATTAATCCTAACGGATCATAAAGCGATTTCGGATAAAACTGATCTCTTGGTAATATTTCGAGTAATCGGTGGTAACGAAGTGAACTGAAAATCATCACTCTTTGGTTGCCAAGAAAGGCCTAATATTTTAACACCAGAAGAATCTAACTCGACGCCAGATACATGGTCAACGGATGACAAAGTAAAATGATTCAACAGACTCGGACAATTACTATTCCACTTTTGTAGTGGAAAACCGCCCGCCGTGCAAATTTGACATACTTGCGTTATGATTTGCTGAACTTCATCAACGGAGTCAGCTCCACCAAAGATGTCATCAACATACCTTTCTTTTAACAGCGATGATACAGCTTTAGGAAATCGGTGACCTTCGTCCTCAATTAGCTGTTGGATTACACAGAGAGCAAGAAATGGAGCACAGTTTAAGCCATAGGTTACAGTTGTCAACTTATACGAGCGCAACTGGTCATCTGAATTATGCCAAAAAATGCGCTGCAGGTTTTGATCGTCGACATGCACCCATATGTTTCGATACATTTTCGTAATATCTGAAGAAAAAACGTAACGATGAGAGCGAAACCTAAGTAGCACATCGAAGATATTGGTTTGTAATTTTGCTCCCGTATGTAAGATGTCATTCAAGGAATTGCCATTGCTAGAAGGACTCGATCCGTTAAAAACGACTCTAAGTTTCGTTGTCTGGCTGTTTTCGCGTACTACCCGTGATGGGGTAAATAGAAAACAGGAGCGGCGTTGATTTCGGATTCCGGTATTGGAATCATATGACCTAATGTCTCGTATTTATGTAAGAACTCCGTATAGAGCTTACAGTAAGAAGGTTCCCTTTCGGACCGTTTGTGAAGCCGTGATAAACAACGAAGTGCTGTTGTGTTCACGTCTTCTAATGAAGATCTCGGAGATCTTAGCGGGAGTCGTACAATGTATCGACCGTCAGAATCTCGTGAAAAAGTGGAACGAAATTGCGCCTCACATTCTTCCTCCTCGCTACTTAAAGATTTCTTAACTATATTTGGAATCTCTTCTTGCTTCCAGAAACACGTTAGCAGATTCTGAAGATCATGGTCAATGTGACAATGATAAATTCCTCTCTCTGATTCCGAAAATCCAGAGGTAACCGGTCCGGAAACAACCCAACCGAATAATGTTAGTTGAGCAATAGGTGATGACGCTTCCCCTTTTTTTATACCAGGCTTAATAATTTGACCGTAATGATCGGCACCAATGATAATGTGAATCGGTCCTGGTTTTCCAAAATTAGGATCTGCAAGTGGCAGATCCTCTAAATGCGTCCAGAGGATGTTAACTAGGTTGAAAGACGGTATTTCAAAAGTTAGTCGAGGGAGAACGAAGGCTTGTAACGCAATAGCATCGTTAACGTCCAATAAAGAGTGAAGCACAATGTCTACCGAGCCTCTGGTGCGTCCTGAGCGAGTTCCACCGATGCCCAGTAAAGGAATCGTGGCAGCCCTTCGTGAAAGTTTTAAACGATGTTACCAAACTTTCTGCGATAAATGCCAATTCAGATTCAGGATCTAACAGTGCCCGAACGTTGACGAAATCGCCATCGAGAGCTCTTATTCGAATTTGGCATGTAGCAAATAAGGTGTGATTGGCTTCTGACTTACAATCCGCTCGACGTGATCACTGGGAGAAATTTCTAGTCATTTAGTTTCTGCGCTAGACGTTAGCGATGACGAAGCATTATCAAGTGAAATATGTGAATTGGTTTTAGTTACGGATTGTTCTTTTTATTTAGAGTTATCATGCAGTGTGGTGTGATGTTTTTTACCACATTTTTTACAGCGACGAGTACTTTGGCAACGGCTCACGATATGAGTTCCTAGGCAGTTAAAACACAAGTTTAATTTTTGAACTGTTCGTTTGCGACGTTCGAAAGGCTGAGATAAATAAAGAGGAAGCGTCATCCCGAATGGCTAAAACCTCTTGAATGTTGTTCAGGATCATATCCTAAATAACATTCGTTAAGATCAAGGTCATTGGAGATTGTTTCTCTTATTTTCATTTTTACATAAAAATGAATTTTCAGTGCAAAAATGAAAATAAGAGAAACAATCTCCAATGGTCTTGATCTTAACGAATGTTATCTAGGATATGATCCTGAACAACATTCAAGAGGTTTTAGCCATCGGTTGGATACCTT